GTGAGAATCTTTCCTGAGTTTGATTATGTGGGAGTGTTTCAGTTTATCTAGTCCATTGAATAACCTTGAGAATTGTAGGAAAGTTTTTGCCTTTGCAGCTTGAGCTTTTATCTGACTCAGCCGCAGGCCTAAATCTTTGTTTGCCTTAGAACAGCAGTCATTCAAAATCACTCACTGTACAAAAATCTTTTCATGTAGATGCGGTCTTTTACCAGTGACGTTCACTCAGCATTTTAATGGGATACAGGGGCCTCTTAAATGCAGACAGTTTTCTATCAGCAGCATGAGACTTCAAACAAGACAAAGCAATGTAACCTCTCAGGAAAGAATATGGTATCAGCTCCTAGGCTGTCCTGAGGTAGACAGAGATGCTGTGGAGTGTAATGTTCATATCCAACAGCTTGATTGAGCTCCGAATGCTAAAACATGTCCTAGAAAGGCATTTGCAGTATTATTAACAGCCATTAGCTCACAGATGCTAGATTTACACAAGGACATAATAACCCTTAGGAATTCTGAAACATCTGGCAAATGGGATCAAGAACATAATTTTGGCTGGTTTTTGACTCATCCATTGAGATGTGGTTCCTCTGAGTCTGCTTGTGAGTTTTGTTGTGGGTCTGGGATAATTATAGCTACCTTTTAGTGCCCAGCACTAGGCACTGAGTGGTGGTGGTGGTAGATCACGAGGACCTCAGATGTCTCTTGTTGCATCCCAGTGCACCCAGTTTGCCTCACTGCTTTAGTTGTTTCATAGCATCACAGCAATGCCAAGTCACTGTCAGGCAGCTGCTTCTATGTTCCAAGGGATGAAATCCAAAATGATTTAGTTTTGAAACCTGCAATTAAAATCACCGTGTTGTGATCACGTTAAAGGGTGACAATAACATCTTGCATAGATTCACCCTTCTCTTTGAGTAGCATTTGTATCTGCCCCCTAAATTAGATTGCAGGTGAAGAAGCAAACCAAAGTCACAATATTAGTTTTCTATGAGGTTGTTTCTTTAACAATTAGGACAAAGTACAGCATTGGTGTCTTCAGCCTGTGGCCAAGGTCAGGTAAGATGAAGGAGATGCTGTCTTTTCTTCCTTTTTCCCCATATCTGACGCAGGTGTGAAACACTAGGATTTTGTTTACCACTTGATCAAACAGAAGTATCAGCCCTGAAAGGGAAAAGCTCCAGAGTTGTATTAAACCTGGGAGCACCAGCACCTGTGGTTATCTCTTACACCCAGGTTGCTTCACAGATCATAGTGCCATTGTCCTGAAGCTTTCTACCATGATGTCCTACTGCCACAATATGGTATTATGATCATTTATCAAAGCCTTCTATGACTGTGATCATAGCTGGAGTGCACATAAATTGCACAACAACACACAGTTCATGTCAAAAGGATAAATAAATTCTATTTTAAAAGCACTATTCATCATCCAGTGATGCCTACCTAACAAACAAAAGCTACATGTGTAATTTCAAATAGTGTCAAAACACGAGATTTTAACATCTTTATGAACAAAACACTATTGATGGAATCTGGGAGGCTTTCAGATCTCCAGTTGATTAGATTGTAAAATGTCTGAATAGGGAGAGAAATCCTACTTCAGGAAGTGCGAGAAGAATTGAATATCAGGAAATACAAGCACTTTGCTGAACAGTGTTTTTATAAATATTCTGACCTTAAATATCTTTTCTCAGTTTAACATTATCATATTTAGAAATCACTTCAAATATTCATAGAAACCATGTTAGACGCCACAATCATCAGCCTGAGATTTTCCAATTACTTTACATCAGAACTCTGTCACTCTTCTCAAAAATGAAGACATCTGAGGCCAGAATTTATTCTGAGATATAATTTTGTACATATTTGGCTCACATAATTATAGAGTGATTATATATTTGAATATACATTTCTGTCTTGCATTCTTAATGTAGTTGAATTAATTACCTTAGAAAAAAGTAATGTTATTTCTACGCATTTTAAAGCTCATTTTTCCTATATATTGTCATCACAATCCATGACTACAATGATCACCATCAATATTATTATGACACCCATATTCAATTTCAACATCAAAATTTAAGCAAGTTGCAAGAATACTCTCTTTTCCAGAGAAAAGAACTCCATATAAACAAATCCACCAATAAGCAGCCCACACTTCAGATGGATCAGCAAGTTAACTATATTTGAGTGCTGGATCTGAGAATGCTAAACTATGACAAAGAAGAAAATCTCTCAAGCAGTGTATTAGGTAATATGAAACTATTAGGAAAAATTAAGTTCATGTTACTAAAGCCTTCTGAACTTCAGGAAGTCTGTTGTATCCTTTGTTCACTTAATCATCTAATTTAATTTTGCCTTTGGGAACCGAATTGCATCACGTTAATATGGCAACAAGAATTGAGAATTAAAAAGCTGTTAGACCCATTTTTTTTATAAAGACAATGCCAAAAATCTATATTCTACTTATTTCTTACATTTTACTTCTTTATATAAGTTACCTGTTTATCTATTTAGCATCAGAAGCATCATGACAGCTGTAATATAAGAATTGAGGCAAATTGCATTTTTTAAAAAATAATGTTTTTCAAAATGTTCACACTTCCTACTTGTGAAGTCCTAGACAGTCCTACAGAATAGATTAGAGTTCAGGGTGATTTATTCCAACATATGATAGTCCATTTCTTTTGCTACAACAAAAGAAGGATGAAAGGAAATTTCCAGAAGAATCACTTAGGACTATTCCACCCATGTTATTCGTGCCTCTGTGTGTTTTTGTGCCTGCCTCCTCTACTGTAACACACGAAAAGGATCCTGCTCTGCTGCTGTGGTCCATTCACAGTGATCTGTGATGAAATTCTCTTTTATCTTCACAGTGACTCTGGCCACTATGAACTTGGTTTTCTGCAGAGATAACATAAATCCCAAACTAGCATTTCTTCTATTGAGTCTTGGTGAGAAATGCTAGGAAAAATTATGCACGTCCCAGTACCAATGTGCAGCCTGACTGTTATCTGAGGAACAAGGACTGCTGGGGAGACACAGTACACAGTGACAGGGCTGCACTAACACAGGACTAGAGTCACTGGTAACCAGTTGCACCAGTGGAAATCCCAAATAAAAATCCACACTGTGAGAGTGGTTAAGTATTGGGACAGGAGCCCACAGAGGCCGTGGGGTCTCTGCCCTATAAAATTTTCTGAAGTACCACGGATGAAGCCTTGAGCAATCTGATCCAACCACGAACTTAGCCCTGCTTTGAGCAGGAGGTTAGTGAATGTAGGTCCCTGTCAACTGAAATTATTCTATTATTCTCTTATTGTCTTCTCCTATAGGAGGTAATAGCTGGCTTGGAAACCAAGTTCATCTTCCTCCAAAAATGTTTCATCCATACATAGACCTGATGCGACCCTGAAAGCCTTTAAGACAGTGGTCTGCAATATTTATCAATCTGTGGACATGAAAATATTTCCAGTGGTGGCCCAGATCTTAAAAGCAGCTTTAAATTTCTTCAGAGGAAGTTTCTTCTACTTGGTTAGTTTTCACAGATTCTTTATTAGTAGGCCAAAGAAGCCTACGTGTCCATATGCCACACTGAAAACTCTTGTTTTGGTGTTTCTAATGAGAACAATGTTGGATCAGAGTCGACTTTGATTATTTTGCAAAACCATACTTTCTAAAGAAATAAATTTGCACTTGGTAGTCTGTTCTCTCTCTGCCTGTCTCTTTTTCTTTCTGTGCACAGACTTCTCTTGAGTAAACAGCCTATAAACTGAAGAACATGATACCCCATTTTTATGTAGGAGAATGCAGAGATCTTTACTCCCTTAAAGACTGCGAAATGGGAAAAATAAGCTACTTGGCATTATTAGAAAGAAAATCAAGAAAGTTTTATCTGAGTAGCTTGGGCCCAGTCTTGTTTAATATCTTTATCAATAATCTGGATGAGGGGATTGAGTGTTCCCTCAGTAAGTTTGCAGATGACATAAAACTGAGCAGGAGTGTTGATCCGCTCGAGGGTAGGAAGGCTCTGCAGAGGGATCTGGATAGGCTGGATTGATGGGCTGAGGTCAACTGTATGAGGTTCAACAAGGCCAAGTGCCGGGTCTTGCACTTGGGTCACAACAACCCCCCGCAGCGCTACAGGCTTGGGGATGAGTGACTGGAAAGCTGCCTGGCGGAAAAGGACCTGGGGGTGCTGGTTAACAGCCGGCTGAACGTGAGCTGGCAGTGTGCCCAGGTGGCCAAGAAGGCCAACAGCATCCTGGCCTGTATCAGAAATAGTGTGGCCAAGAGGAGTAGGGATATGTTTGTCCCCCTTCGGCACTGGTGAGGCTGCACCTTGAATACTGTGTTCAGTTTTGGGCCCCTCATCACAAGAAAGACATCAAGGCACTGGAGTGTGTCCAGAGAAGGGCAACAAAGCTGGTGAAGGCTCTAGAAAACAAGTCCTGTGAGGAGCGGCTGAGGGAACTGGGGTTGTTTAGTCTGGAGAAGAGGAGGCAGAGGGGAGACCTTATTGCTCTCTGCAACTAACTGAAAGGAGGTTGTAGTGAGGTGGGTGTTGGTCTCTTCTCCAAAGTAATTAGTGATAGGATGAGAGGAAATGTCCTCAAGTTGTGCCATGGGAGGTTTAGATTAGATATCAAGAAGAATGTCTTTACCAAAAGAGTGGTCAAGCATTGTACCAGGCTGCCCAGGGAAATGGTGAAATCACTGTCCCTGGAGGTGTTCAAAAAACGTGTTGATGTGGCACTTCGGGACATGGTTTAGTGGGCATGGTGGTGTTGGGTTGATGGTTGGACTTGATGATCTTAGAGGTCTCTTCCAACCTAACGATTCTATGATTCTTATCTTTTCATATAGAGTGGATGTTTTACACACTAACACAGAAAGTCATATGGAAAAATGGATGCATTCATGGAGGGAGTGAGACTCAGAAATCTGTGTCTCATTCTACTTTTCAGATAAAAGAATAGAGGAACCGTCTTGATTACCTGTTTCCATTTTCCCATCTTGTGCTGCAGGCCCATCAGGAATTACACTCTTCACCTGGAGAAACTCATCCGGCTCATCCCCACCAATGATGGTAAATCCAAAACCCATGTTGCTTTTCTTAAGAGTTGTGCTGAGGAAAGTCCCCTTCAGCTGTGATGCATCACGGGTGAAGAGTGGTTTTTCTACATCAGTCAACACAAACAAGAAAAACAGAAGTTCTGATCTTGTCACAACACAGTGAGGACAGCAGATAACAATACTGGCTGACAGCAGGTGATAGTGTATGAAAACCAAGAAAATAAAGAGTGCAGGCATTCCAGGAAAAAATATTTGTGAGTTCTTGTATTAATACAAAGCTTAAAACGTATTTCTTATCTATGGCAGATCAGCCATAAGTGGAGAGTTATAAATATTCTCTCACATTTAGAAGTGGATATTGTGTAGCTAAAATAATTACAACAATAAAAATGATCTGTGAGGTAATTTTAAAACCTCTTTCCTAACCTATAAATTCAGCTTTGTCTACAAAGTAATACATTCTCCGTAATTTCCCTCCCAACTGCAATAAGGAAAGTATCCCCTGAATATCTTGTTCCATTTGTTAACAAGCAGTGTTAAATATTAGGTGCGCTCTTCTTTCCGAACATGTGGGGTTTTGGCATCCAACAAGTGACACACATAACAGCCTTCGCATGCCCTCTCCACATGCCTTGGTGTGCAGTGTGGGTGGCGGGAGCTCCCCGTGCCTGTCGCCCATGCTGTGCTTGGTGAGGAAGGGTGGGAGGAAGGTGCAAAGGTTGTGACTTCAACTGCTCTCGCTATGCCCGCAGTGGTGGGGCTGGGCTGGCCGGCAGCAGAGGACATACCGTACAGCCTGCATGTCCCAGCAGGGTCACGCCGGCACTGGGACAGGTCATTCACGCTGCGAGACCTCTTGGGAGCGGGGCGCAGGTGGGCGAATTTGGGTCTAGGTAAGGTTGATGAGGAGCTTTCTACTGTTACAAAGGAGAACAAGCCTCATTCTCTGGCTATAACCTTACGTTAAAGTCTCTACCAATAATGTTTGCTGCTTATACAGCTCATTTTAAGCACATTAATTTCTACATTACCAAGAGGCTGTATTCTTGTAAACTCCTATAAAACAGTGCTTGAGGCTTTTAACTTAATTGATGCTTGCTAGATGAGCTAGCTTAGAAACATACCAAACATCAATTAAAGGTAATTTAGAGAAAGTACAATTAATTATTTCAGTGTTGCCAACCTCGGGTGCTCAAGAGAGAGTCATACATTCCCAAGAATAGAATTTATGATTTTATTTAGAAAATTACTTTGGGGCTCTTATTGTTCTTTCTGTTTCTCAGCCTTTGGGAAATGCTAGGGTCAACTTTTCTGTCTTCTCTCTGTACCTCTGAAGTTTATAGTATTTAGGTGGCTCATGAGTTCCACAACTCAGGCAGCTCGGACATTCAGGGGAGAAAGATGCTAGGAGACAGGTGATAACACTGTGAGAATTGGCAACACTGCTCCTTTAATCAGCCTATGACAAAATCATTGTCACATAAACAGGAGAGCAGGATCTTTCATCTTAACTAAGATAGCTGACACGGTACTGTACCTCGGAAACCTTGGGCCTGCATAGGCTTTGTTCCAAGTTCTGCGTTGGGCATGTTATGCTGCTGTAGCTTCCTTTTTGCTTCTAGGACAGGGTTTTCAAATTGTGTTCTTCTATTTATGTGGCTGGAAAAAATTTGGTTTTGATTAAAAACTGGGTTCAGTTGGGGAATATGATCATTTTCACAGTAGGATGCTATATGTGACTTAGGTGTGTGTAGTTCGAGAGTGAAACCATCATGAATCCCCAATGGGCCTGAATATGTCCCTTACACTCCACCCAATTTTGCGGGGAATGAGAAATGCACAATGTAGCGCATTGCATAATGAACAGCCCTAAGAAGTGTCCTGTCATTTCAATATGCTGAACTTTGCTACAGACAAATGGTTTGGATCTATGGGACTACATATTAAATAGCAGTATTGCTGAAGCATGCTACAATGACAGTTTTTCATGTCTTTAGCACCAGCATTGTTCCGTGCATGATTCAAAGGATCTGAACTAGTTTTGTGCATTATTGTCAATTAGCTGTAAGTGAAATTACTTAATCACCTACAGAAAAGGTAAAGCCTTGAACACAGATTGCTTTTATGATCACAGCTTAGACATAAATCTAACATAGGAAATAAACTGAAGAGGATTTCTTCCTACTTCTATGCTATATATGTGCTCAGCTTTACAGAAAAATCAGATGTTGAAGAAATTAAGTCAGAAGGTAAAACAGAACCACATAGAAAAATATATATGAAATATAAGAAAAGTTAATGTATACATTTTTTCCTGAGATTTTAAATTTCCTACAGCAGGTCAGTAAGTACACCTCTCTCATTACACCACTAATTTTCTACATTGTGTTTAGAACCGCTATCTTAACTACATACTGTCCCCATGTCCTTGATTTTAATTCTTTAACTTAAAGCATACATTTTATCAATCTATGAGTGATCCTACAATCCTGTCCTGAGATATGTTTTATTATGTTTTCTGAAGAAGGCAAAACAATTTAGTAGGCTGCATTGAACAACTCTGCAAGACTGGATCACGATAGGATCACAACTGAGAAAAGCAGCTTGTGCTGCGAACATACTGGAGAAATAAATACATATGTACAGAAGAGCAGGTTTTCAAACATTTCCTTATTTGTCCTCACTGAGCTACTATGTATTGAGTTCTTCTGAAGATCCAATCCAAATCATGGGCTTTAAGCACGTGGATAGGTGACCTGGTAACTTTTGAAGCCCTGTAATCTTAAAAAGGGTTGAATATCTTCAGTTTATATTGAAGTGACCTTTTATGCCACATTAAGTGCTTTTCAGGTCCGTTGGGATTCAGATCCTACTACTGCTTCAAAGAAAGTAAGTGGAATTACCATTAAGTGAGGTAGAAGAAAGGCAGAAGTCCTATGGGAGCGCAATACACTTGGAAAACCAGGATTTAGTGGCCAGAGCTAATGCAATGAAAAGGTTTCCAGTCATGTAAAAGTATATTTGATTTAATGCGAGGAAGTAAATGAGATAAATCCTGGAGTTGCTACTTTGTTACCATGTCCGTAACTCATTCAAATGGCTGCTAACTCTCGTACTCTAAAATTTTAATTAATAGTTTTCTTGTAAAATTTAATCTATGTTGCAAACAGAGAAAGTCCCTTTTGTTTCTTTCTTCTTCAGACAGGCTGTTTATGATTGTAGGCTTTCCTTTCCTAGACTTTTTCTTTCTAGTTAGACCAGGCTGTAAGTGTCAGTGTCTTCAGCACCTTAGACTATTGCAAACCTAGAAGCATATGAGGGAAGGGAGACAAACTTCACCAGTTAAAAATGGAGAAAGACAAGACTTACATGCATTAAATAAGGTAATTATGAACTACTAACATAAGCACGAAAAAGGTAATTTTCATGTTACCACCTATCATGTGATCTATTTCAATATTGTAAAGGAAATACTACTTTTGCCATTACACAAGGAAGTGATGAAACATCACGTGAAATACTACATAAAGTTTCTGATCACCCATGACCAAATAAAATGAATCTATGGAAAAGGTTTTACAGGAAGACCAGTGAAACAGAGAGTCTTCTACGATAGAAGACCAAAGCAGTTTTATCTTTTTAGTCAAGCAGAATTAATTCTGATGTACCATTGCATTCTATGAATACATTTGGAAGTAAATACTAGAATGTATTGAAGATGTCAGGATTTCAGACTTGATATCTGTAGGCTTCTTACAAGCAGAAGTGTGAAATTATGAAACAGCTTCCAATAGCAGGGTAAATATGGGGTAAAATATCTAGCTTGTTTTCTGAACCTAACGATTCTAGTTAAAAACAGAGTTGAAGGTTAAAAACAGAGTTGTTATAGAGTGGCTTAATTGCTTCAACATAGGGATCATGTCCTATTTTAGAGGCTCTAAAGTATCCTGCCCTGCCCTTCCAGAAGAGCATGGGTTTACCATAGCTTTTGTTCAATATTATGCAGATGTAATGGATACCCAAGACCACACTACAGATCTGCATTTCACACCTTGAACTATGCCTAGTGTCATGCTATAATTGCAGGGCACATCTCAGTGCCACAGGAAGCCTCTTGAAGACCTAAGTTAAAACATATACGTGTGTCCTGGTTTGGCTGGGATAGGATCACAGCCCAGCCATGTCAGACAGGCTGTTCACAGTTTTGAGTCAGCCAGGGCAGCTGACCTGAGTTAGCTACAGGGGTAGCCCATCCTATAATGTCTGGTCATTACAAAGGGGGAAGGTTTACTGAGGGAGGAGAACCCCTGACAGGTACCTGTGGGGGTTTCTGATCTTCCTCCTGCTCCTCCTCTGGCTTCTCCCTGCTCCTGAGGACTGCTCTCCTGTCGATCATGACTGCTGCATGTTCATTTGGCTTAGTATGACTTTGTATACCTTTGTCGGTATTAGTGCTGTTTCATTAAATGTTTTCACTCCAGCCCCTGGGTCTCCTTTCCTTTTCCTGATTCCCCTTCCTGGCAGGTGAGAGGTCACTAGGTGATAGAGAAACTGCTACAGTTTACCTCTGGATATGGGCTAAATGTGGTTCTTCTGTGATATAAACACAGATAAGATTTTAGCTAGATGTGTCCATGGCTCAAGGAACATCAGTTCCTGTGGTACTGCTGTCACAGCTAGAATCTGTTATCTACTGCCACTTTACAGTTTCTAGGTAGAGTTTAAGTTGTGGTTTAGTCCATTTACACAGAAGTGTCTTCAGTAATGGTTATCTTGAAAATAACTTTTTTGTCTCAGCAGATCAGACAGGAAGACTAGCAAAGGTACTCAGCACTTCAAGTTGTTGGTGCAACCTTAATAATTCTTAGCTCAAATTTATTCCCACATTTTGACTGTTCTAAGGTAGTGTGCACTCTTGAAAGCACAGTGTGAGAATTCAAAAAAATTCAAACAACTGCATTAAATATTGTGTCCAAGAAGAGTCAAAGAAAATTATACTGATAATAAGTTGTTTTTTATCAGTCAGTAACACTAGATTTATGCTCCTAGACTGATGAGATGTGAAACACCTCCCTTTCATGCAATTGTAAGTGTAATACAGCTTCATGGCTAAATTGGAAAAGTTGCTACAGGTGAGTTTACCTGAGAAAGAAGTTAAGCTAAGTAGTTCCCTTGAAAGGACATTCTAGCCTTACATCTAGCTACTTCAGCTGCATGCAAAATAGATATTACTAACCTAGGCCTTAATAAGAGAAGCCAAATGTGACTTTTAGGGATGGTTACAAATAAATACTTTTGTAGTTAAAATAGATTTTGGATGTGATCCAAAAATGTATTGTTCATAGTATCTAATTCAGTGAGCATTTCTATCTTCACTTTTCTTCCTTTATTTTATTCAATAAATATTAAATTTAAAAGCCGAATCCAAAAATGAGAATCCAACTAATTTCTCCTAGTGCCATTTAGTGTTATTGTGGCTGTACAGAAGAATCATGCTGCCTTTTGTTTGCCTTCTAGTTCTAGGAACCCTGAATTTCCCTCTGCAGAGAAGAAGGGGTAGTCTGTGCTGCTGTCTTCTGTTAGCTCACCATATGCTAACTGGAGACAACCCCTCAGAGGTCAGATTTGGTTTTCAGCTGCATTTAGCTGTGAAGTTGAAGTACTGTTACTTGTGTAATGAGTACTTACTGTCGCCATCAGCCAGCCTAGAAGACATAGGCACCATTCTACCATCTCACTGGTGAATGTGACCAGGCTAAGTTGTTTTTGTGATGGAGTTTCATGTTAGATGTGCTTAAGACAATTGAAACACATTTTTAGGAGATTTATGGGCAGGGATGTCTAGTACGCAGATTTTAGTTGATGGCTGAGATACTGAGCCTTGCCAAAATGGTAGCACATCTAGGCATGTGCATCAAGAGAAGGAGTTTAACCTACCTCCTTTTTTTAGCTACTTTAATGTACCTTTTTTTTTTTTTGTAGTTGTGACTCTAACATTCAAAATTGTTGCCTATAACCCACCAAAGTAATTTTGAGGATCAAGATACCTAAAAGATGGATGTGCTGATGCATAACTTGTTATGGCTTAACTTCTCTTTACATTCACATTTTTCAGTTACTAATACTTTACAATGACAAAAAGACCTGAAATAAATTTTTCTATTTGAGTAGTAACAGAGTGTTTTTGGATATTGTAAGTCAAGGTGGCATATTTTTCCAGAATAAATACCTGTATGGCTAATTCAGCTGTTCTATTAAGGAGACCATGTCTGGAAATTGAGCTTTGTGTTTTAGTTAATCATCCCTAAAGGGAGAAATAATCTTTTGGCAAGTAGAATGCGGAAAAACCCAGTGCACTCTAACAACCACATTCTCTCCATAGCCCTGCTCAGCTAAGTGCTGCTAGTTCTTAGTTTATAAATTAAAAGAAAATTGCATGAAAGTTAATCCATGTATAGCAAATGTTTCTCATTTATGATAAATGTGGTGTACACCTTACAGATGAGCCTGGACTTGCATAACAAGGCAAATGAAAATTTTAATGTCTCACACTTACATTCATGCACAGTTAAGAGGAAGTTATAGTAGAGACCTTATTTTTGATCATAATTTGCAAATATGTTGTGATTGGTCTTTATTAACTTTAGTAGCAAGACCTTTGAGGTGTTTTTTTGGTTGTTTTTTTTTTGTTTGTTTGTTTGTTTTTTTTAAGCTTTTCCCCTTGTCTCAGAATATTGGAGCTGAGCATAGCTCAGCAAGGTGAAACTATGTCTGTCTGCCTCACTGCTCATCCTTACAAACTTCCCATGGGGTACAAGCATTTCAGTGAGCAGAGTAAAAGCCCGTCTTTCACTGACAGTTTTAAAGGCCTGCATGTAAAGTTGGACTAGACTTGAACGTGTGAATGTTCATAATCTAACTTTTCATGATTTACCCACTTTTATGACATAATTAAGAGTGTTTATTGTAATCTGATTTTATCTAGTTAAAAATGAACTCCTCTGTTTAATACTGGTAATAAAAAAGGTGTGACTGCTACTTTTTAGCATGAAAAATGGAAAGCAATCTTTGTTTCAATCTTATTGAGCTCAAACAGCAAATTAAAGTACAGCTACATTTTACTGACCATAAAACTCCCTATGAACTTAGCGTGGATGCAGTATTAATGCCATTCTGTGAACATCCATTCCACTTCTTAAAACCTCTGAGCCAGCAGTAGGTTTGATCTATCTTTCCACAAGTCTTATCTGTGGTAGGATTAATAAATTTGGCACTAACAGCCTTAAAGTATGTAATTGCATAATAACAGCTGGGCCTTGTGCCTTGTGCCTGTTTACCTGCGGTTGGACATGAAATGGAGATAAACACTTGTTCCTTTTATGACTCTGCAGTGAAGTGTGAGCCCCACCGGTGCCAGAATGCCTTAGGCTGTGCTACCAACCAAGTGGGGTCTCAGTAAGAGATTAACACACAGAAATTGTACAACACCTGTTACTTGCCAAAATACACTAAAAAGCACTGGGGCAGAACGTACTCACACCCAGCAGCTGTACAATTGCATGTGCAGAAATCTTCGAGGGGGGGGGGGGAGTACAAAGAGATACAAGAACTCCAGCCCCTAGCTACTTGGGGGCATCGTAAAAGAACTCAGGCATAAAGAGAGAGGGTAGTTTAATGGCATTATGTAGGGACTTCAAAAACTTACTTGTCTTTTTGCTTGAATCTGGACTGACTAAGGTGACTTGTTCTGGGCGGCAAAGCAGATGGAGCTGCTGGCTCTTTCACCTGAGGGCAGGGACCAAGACAGGGACAAAGAAGCAGAGCAGGTGCTACTGCATTCAGAGAACAGGACAGGAGGAGTCAGCAGGGCAGTAGCTAAACACTGTTCTCACATTTATTTGCTTGCTTTCTAAGAGGGCTAGGGAAGGTGCACGAGCATCCACAAGCTGCTGCTGTTACAGCAGTGAAGGAAAGTGAATCTTAATCTTCTAGACCTGCAGAAATCAAATCTTTTTTTAAGCTCTCTGTCCAGCTCTACCCTGTGCATGCTAATAGCAGCACATCCTGAGGTCTGGAAAAGCTGCAGCTTCAGTATCTGTCCAGAGTGATTCTGCAGCCAAAGTGTTGATATGAATTTGAGAGATGAAGGGAATGTTGTCATACACAAACTAAAGTTTTCTATTTTGTATGAAACAACTAGAGTAAACTTACTGCTTGAGTGCCAGGATTTGAAATTGATAGTTTTAGGTCAGGGGCCATCTTTTCTAAAGATCTCTCTTCTTTAATAAGTGGCACTAATGGATAGATCTTAACCTTTCAAAGCACTGTCTGCACAGTGATGGGGAGTGGCTTTCTCCCTCCTCTGCTGTACACTTTGTGCAGAGAGCAGAGTGAGAACTGACCACTCTGAACACGTATCATGGTTTTGAATCTACATTCATTTTTGCATAAGTCTCATTCACTGCATTAAGCTAAAAAGCAGAGAAAATAATTTCTCTGATTCAATTATTTTATGTAGGAACTGGCCAGAACTGCTTCTACATAGTACTTCAAACAAAAGCTTTCTGTTGCCCTTTGCACAGGGGAGTAAGAATCTTGTTTTGTTTTTTTTTCTTGTTTCATGACCAAAATAAAATTGGGAAAAAATGAAAGCAAAGATTGTGCTGTGAAAATAGAAATTTACATTCTCTTATTTTCAGCTGCAATTTTAAGTACAAAATAAAACACAATATCCCTAAAGTTTTATATGTAGCATATAAGCAACCTGCCTTCTGGTACAAACAACATGGACATCTGATCTGCAGAAAGGAAGGACTACCCAGAAAAGGATCTTAACTGAGCTAAAATGGTTATGCTTTGATTATGCTATCTTGATTGATTAACAAGTTCTTTACTTTGCTGGATATCCAAACTTTACATAGAAAATACAATATTTCTTTAATGAATATGATCTTTGTACGAGTATCATCTGGAATGATACCATGAAATCAGACCCTGGAGAAAGAGAATGATTGAATGCCTGACTCGCTGATTTGAGACACACTGAGACACAATATACTTGGACACGTTAGCTGTACTGATGACTGAGAATTCCTGGTATACCTTCAGTTTAACATGTCAAGTAATCATACTCACGCCTTGCCAGGCTAAGCACTGCAGAGGATACTAGTATTAGGTTATCACATATTAACAGCAACTTAATATTGAACTTGGGAACTTACTCAACATAATAAGTGCCATAAATGGGATCATCAATTTTCTCCCAGCCATATGGAAGCTCTGAAAAACAAAGAGTTATCTCTCTCAGTAAATGCAATACAGAATGCTAAGATTTCTAGCAACGAAATTGTGGATCTTTGCTGAGTGTTGAGGGAAATAACTTGAAAGTGAAATTAGACACACTGACCAAAGCAAACGCCAAATCTTTAACTCATACCATGGCAGCCATAAGTAGTAGTAACTTGAAAATTGGCATGCAAACACAGATCTCAGTCTCTAGAACAACACATTTTAGTTGAACTACTTCATTGTTCTAACAGCTGTGCCAGCCATCAACGGTAGCACATCTTGTGTGACATCACTGCCAGAGAAACTGAGGGCATTCTGTTTTCCCAAATAGGTACATACAAGAAAAAGTACTTTACTTTTTTTTTTTTTTTTTTTTTCCCTGGGAATCCTGGAAAAGCTGGCCTTGAAGGGAAAAAAGAACTTGCCTTCTGCCATGTAAGTATACCTAAATGTTCCTGAGAAGTTTGTACTATTTGTCGTACTGTGATGGTAAATCTGCAGCCTCCAAAGGCATCTTGTTCTAAAATTTAGTTATGTATCAGGGACATCAGAGTACATAGTAGTACATGGAAGTACAAACCAAAATAAGATGTTATAGCATCTACTGGCCTTAAAACTAATTACATTTTGCAGAAATAGAGAGGACAATTGTTAATACCTAAAACATTCAGGTATTAACAACTGAAATGTTAAATACATTAATTTAATGATCTTGGAAATCAATCTGTGTTCATGTATAAGCAAACTCATGTACATCAATAAATACATATTTTATTATCACTCGCACTGAACACTTAAAATATTATTATATCGCCAACAGAACTTCATCTTGTGTTTACAAGGCACTAGATGGATGTGACAAGTATCTCAGTTGACATGAACAGAGTAAAAATCTCAGTGCCAGATGTGATGACTTTGATGGAGGAGACTCAAAAGTATAGGCATTCCCATCACACACAAGTATTGATTTCTATGTAGTTAAAGGCTATGTCACAATATACAGGGAGTGGTACTGAGATTCTATAAGGCTATTTGATTGTGGAATTCATTATCTCAGATTTTTTTTTTTTTGTTTTCAAAATCATTTGCACTTTTAAAGTAACTTTTTGGAGACAGCAAGAATACCAAACTAGACAGAACTGATGTAACTCATACTGAACAGAGTCATTAAAGTGGCCACAAATAAGTACTCCTGGATGATTTGAACTGTTTTTTTCAGAGACAATGTGAATAGACAATTACTGGTGTGCTGTAAAAGGCAAACAGGAAAGTAAAGCCTGACTGGCAATAAGGAGATTAAAGAGTTAAAAAACAATGTTAAGAAAGTGTTTCACTTCTGCTTGTTACTTCACCTTTAAATGCATCTGTAATATCTTATTCTTTCTTGAGTGAACCTGCTTAGACTGCTGTAGCCTTCATGTCACTTTGCCCACAGAGGATGTTCCCACTCAGTCCTTTCCAATACTGCAATAAAGGATACAACCCTCTGGCTAAGACTGGAAGATGAGGAACTCCACAAATTTGTGACAAAAAGCTCAAGGACTTCTTTGATGTAGATACTCAATTTTTCCTATTAGAATATCATTAGCTTTGAAATCTTCACAAATCTGCACTCTGAACTGCTTTTGTCAAGGCTATTTTGTTACTGTTGCTCCATAGGAATAAATGCAGCATTAGGTATTTAAGCAGGTCACAGAATCACAGGATGGTTGAGGTTGGAAGGGACCCCTGGAAGTTGTCTAGCCCAGCCCCTCTGCTCAAAGCAGGGTCACTGAGTCCAGGTTGCTCAGTACTATCTCAAATTGGCTTTTGAATATCTGCAAGTCTTCTGTTCTCCAGCCAAACAGTCCCAGCTCTCTCAGCCTTTCCTTATTGGAGAGAAGCTCCATTCCCCAGCCTTTCATTAGGCTCTTCCTGCATGTCCATGTCTCTTGCACTGGGGAGCCAAAACTGGACCCAGAACTCCAGCTGCGACTCACCAGGGCTGAGTAGAAGGGAAGAATCATCTCCCTTGATCTGCTGGCACTGCTCTGCCAACTACAGCCCAGGAGGCTATTGGCCTGCTTTGTTGCAAGGGCATGTCACTGGCTCATTGTCAGGTCACCAAGCTTTACAAAGCCCTGGTGTTGCTCTTTCCAGACCTGCCCAGAACTTTAGTAAAATCTGTAGGAGACTGATCCTACAATGGTTCCCACAAAGTCCTGTATATCCTGAGAAAAGACTCTGGAATGTAGTCCATAAATATTCAAAAAGAAAGCAGCTGATGCACAAATCCTGTATTACTGTTACAGTAAGTTTCATTTCCAATGCATGTATGATAAATAAGGCAATAATTTCCTATTAAAAAAATATGCATTTACCTAACCCTATGATACAGAATAAATGTAAAGTATTAGTTTAAGTGCTACAGATATATTTTATTTTCATGTAACCTTGTGAGTTTTTCTTCCCTGATTAACTTAATGTTGCTTTTATATCTGGCCATCTAAAATTACACTCCCTTAGAGAAAAGTGAGGCAGGTACCAGTAAAATATGTACATACTTAAAAATATTCACAAACACACATACACACAGATGTGTACAATTTCCTAAAGTGTGTTAGTAGATGGAGCTTTTTCCAACTATGAAATGAAAAAAAAGGAAGTGGACGTTTTGCCTAAAAATAAAAGTAGGTATCTTTCTGTAAATATATACACTTTAAAGTTTATAGATGCAGAGGACACATTTTATTTTACATATTTATGAAAATCTGAAATAATTTGAGGTTTTACTATTAACCTGTTGGCCTCTTTTTTTCCTAAAGTAATGATGCATAACTGTATTTATGAATTGGCACAACTACTGAGAAGGCAAATGGCAAATCCCATTTTCTAGTGTAAAAGTCTGTAAAAATTTAATGAATTGGACATATTACGGAGAACCCACTTTTAAATGCATGGACTGAACCACTGATTATCTAACATCATAAAATAGTCACGGATTCAGAAGAAAGGAAGTAAGAAATTACCTTCATGTACCATAATAGATATAAACTCCATGTAAAGCTATGCTCTAATTTTATTTTTCCATTTGAGACGCAGCCTGTAAGCTATGTTTAATTAAAATTCTGTGTTGACCAGTAAAATGAAATTTCTAGACCACAGACCCTAAGCCCCCTGCACCCCCACAAAGTATGGCAGATAAGGTTAGTGGAGTGTAGTTTACTACAGAGCTTCTGTTAGAAGTATCTTCTGCTACATTTGCTTGCAGGTGCACTGTGATTATTTTTCATTACATTAAATAGTGGCATCTATTCAATTTTTCACCACTGAAATGAAAGACTACAGGACAGAAATACTTTAGTGCTTCATAAAATAGGAAGCTAAGCATTTGCCAAAATAGTGGTGAGGGCATTACAGTTTCTCTTTTTTGTTTCACTGTGGCCAGTGATGATCACTAGGGATGAGAGTGAACAGTAAACATTTACAAAAGAGAATTGTTATGAAACACTTGCAAAGGAGATTACTGTTGGCTGCTGTGATTTGAATTGGGAAGGGAGCTATAAATTATAGCAATTTCTGATATTCATTTGGTAGCACTAGCATGCTAGTTCATGTGTAATTTCTGCAACCAACAGTTTCATGGTTACTATGCTATATACAAAGTCTTTGTTTTCATGAGCTCAACATTTCTATCATCCACGTCTTTCAATTCTATTGACTCCAGAAGGATGTCTCTGTATAGAAGGACAAATAAAACTGTTCGATCCTTTATTTTTGGTCTTCAACATCTAACACTGCATTCCCACAGATCTCATCCTATCATCCAGTGGAGGGTCTGTTCAGGAACATTCGTAAAATCACCATTTAAAAATCAGTAATTGTGCAGCATTTGGCAATGCTGATACCATGAGTGGATGGACAGGTGCTGGATAATCTGCATAGTATATATATATGCTCCAGTTTTCACATTTTATGCTTTATTCCATACCAGAGAAGCAGCATCTAGCTAACACTGCAGCAGTCCTCCAAAAAAAAAAAAGATCAAAAAGGTACAGATGATACTAAGACACTTGGCTCAGTATGTATGCAAAAGGAGCTGCATTTCTAAAAGTTAAATGTCCAATGGTAACAAAAGCACTCGTATTTTCAAATAAAGAAAGAAAGAAGGACAGAAAGAAGGAAAAAAAGAAAGACTAAAATGAATTAAAGAAAGTCACTTTGATAATCAATGGTAGTGCCTTCTCATTACAGCCTGCTTATGCTAATGGTCCAGATGCTCTTATTCTGCCTTCTGAAGCTGTTGTGTTTCAGAATGATTTTTGATGGTGCCACTTAACCTTCTCTGGGGATGGAGGAGGGAGGACATTTTGGATCTCTGTGTGTCAAGATGAAAAAGCATGTTACCAAACCCAAAGATTAATTTCTCTGAAGTTTATGGAGTACTAACTGTGTTAAAGAGAGTCATAAAAACCTCTCAAGGTTTCTGAACAGCAGCCAGCATTGTGTCACTACCCTCCTCACAGACTGGAAAGATGAGAGCATATTTCTTGAATCATCTGCAATCAAAATATTTGTATAGTAAAAAAGAATGTAGTATGAGAGAGAAAAAGAAAATATAATGCCCGCTGCTATTGAAAATGCTGTGGATAAGGAAGTGGAAGCTGTGGAAGTCAGCATGAGTTTGGTTCACCTGCCTTGTTAACATCCAGGCACAAGTCAGGAATCTTTTTCTGACCTATATATGAGACTTTTCAGAAAAATAATGTATCTTTCCACTCAACAGCCCGTGTTTGTTTTATCTCTTGCTTTCTCTCTTCTCTTTTCTTTCTCCCTGTTTCAAATTCAATTTTGCCTTTTCAAGTCAGTTACCCACTATAGAGGGTATCAAAAGAGCTGGGTTAAAAGTCACAAAATACCGTGCAGCTCCACAGTCCAATGCAGTTGCACATTCTTCTAGTTTCTTTAAGACATATAGTCTTTGCAAATATTTACCTGTAAGTCTAACCAGT